AGGTCATACCAGACTGACCCAAGTTCTCAACCACAGGTCATACCAGATTGACCCAAGTTCTCAACCACAGGTCATACCAGATTGACCCAAGTTCCTTTTCTGATGGGATTCCTTGACTAGCAGACGAAGGAAATGCTGTGGATGTAATTTACCTGGACTTCAGCAAAGTTCATATAGAGAAGATGGGGAGAGAAAGGTTAGATGAGAATACAATCAGATGGATTCAAAACTTGTTGGATGGTGGGATTCAGATAATTTTTCAATGTCAACATGGCAGGGAGACTCTCATGGAGCACTCCAGCCATTTGTGCTTGGTCCTGGGTTATTTGACATTTTTATTAGTGACTTGAGTAAAGGACTAGATGGTATCCTCATCAAAAGTATTGATGATACAAAATGCTTCTCAAGCCAGGAAGAACTTCCTAACAATTAGAGGTTTCCACAAGAATTGCCTTGGGAGATGGTGGGATGCCCCTCCTTGGAGGTCTCCAAACAGAGGCTGGGTGACCACTTACCCATATGTTATAGTGAGGATTCATTTTGTGTATTGATTGGACTAGATAACCATTGAGCTCCCTTCCAACTCCCAAATTCTATGACTTTGCTTTTGTATCTCCCCAGTCCTCTAGTTTGGGAATCTCAGAATCAATGGATTCTTCTTCTTCTTTTTTTTTTTTTTACCACATTCTCCTTTATTTTTCAACAAAAAAGAAGTATATTGGAAGCCCTTCAGTAGGTGAGAGTTTGAGGCTAATGCCACCTAAATGCCATTGGGGATTACAGGGCACAAGTCCAAAGCTGGGTATTCAAAACCACATTTAATTGGGTCCTGAGATCATACCAAGGCATACCAAAAGCCTAGGCTTTTCTCTCCACAAGTCACTAGAAACACTCATGGGAGTAGCACATTTTGCACCCCCACCCCAATCCTCTGCTGCTCTAAGCCTGATGATTCACTGATAGAAATTTAAAATAAAAAATGACTCATATCCAGGACTTATTGGGATGGGAGTGGAGTATTCCCTTCCATGGCCTCTTGTTACAGATACTTAAGCTGGGGAATGCCCAAAGGACAGCTTACTTGGCACAGCATGGTAGGGTCTGATTTCCAACATCTCTTCTGGGATTAAGCTATTCATGGTCTTGGCTGGAGAGGGAAAGTTCTCCTTGGCAGATGACTGGCTTTTGCTTAGTTCTTCCTCACCAAGTGCAGTCCCAGGTAACGCTTCTCCAGATGGCCTTGGAAAGTCACTCCTACCAAAAACAGTGCCCCCTCCCCAGTGAACCTCCTACAGGTTAGCAGAGTCTATAGACCGTGCCTACAAAGTCAAGGGGACTGAAGAAGAAGCAGGAAGAGAGAGGCCCAAGTACCCCAAGTATGAAGGGTTAGTTTAGAAAAGGCATCAGAACCTGTGTTCCCCAGAGATAAGAGGAATGGACAAAGGGGTGGATAAAGATACAAAAAATTTTTTTTGAGGTAGAAAGAATGTAAGTAGAGGCAATCTGGGCCTGAGGGTCTCCTCATTAAGGTAGAAATTGACTTCATCTTCTGCCTGGAAGGTTGGGAGATGGAGATTGGGAGCTTAAGAATGGAAAAATTTTAGGACAGGCCTTGTGGGGGATGCAATAGAGTCTATAAAAGCAAATAAAATGATTGCTGAATCAGAAAATGAAGTGAAAAAGAGTCAGAGGGGCTATGTGTGCCTCGTTATAAACCCACACATTTGCCTGTCACCACTCACATATGGCAGATTATAGCAGCTTTCATTCTGTCTGAAATGAAAATCCACCCTAGGAGAGTCTTCTTTACTTTCAGGCACATTGATAAACTCAGTCTCTACTCTGGTTGCACTTTTTTGGGGGGAGGGGGATGAAAAAAGCATTTATTCAACACTTACGATGTGCCAGGCACTGACTGAGGTAACGGCTGGATAATGTATAGATGCCTACATTCCTATGTGCCAAGCTCATGAAAATTACTTCACCTGAGAAACAACCTGGGGATGGTGGGAGGAGGGGGAGTGTTCCCTGAGAAGCTCAAAGAAAACCTGTGAATGTTCGAGTCTTCCAGATCTTAAGCCCAGAAACAAGAGAATCAAAGACTGCTCCTTCAAGGGGGTGGGGAAGTGACAAAACTGAAACCTTCCGGGTGAGAAAGAGGGGAAGTCAAACCTGTGACAAGGACTTTAAACTCTTTCAGGTTTACAAGGGGCCTATTTAAGTAACTCTGGAGCATTAATCACCATTTTGGAACCTGTCCAAAGCACCAACAGGAGGATAAGCTAACAGGTCCAGAGAAGGGAGCAATGGATTCACACATCCAGCTCCACCCAAAGACTCTACCATACCAGATATCCTGCTACTTAGAGTGGTTACCATGGTGGTGCAAGCACAGACTCCAGACTCTCAGGCTAGGTCCTGGCACCCTTGAGTTAATGACTCCCCTTAGCCAATCTTTCTCCAAGGCCAGTTATTGGAATCGTTGGTGCAGCAAGTGGAAAGGCCTGATATAGAAAGCCTGATAGTTTCCCTCCTTCAAGTCTTGTGTCCTGTCCACTATGCCACATTCTTGCTTTTCCAATTGGAATGTTATTCTATCCTTATGACATCACATTACTTTACCTTCCGTAGGCAGCCTGGCTGAGGTATGGCCCGATAAGCTGCATGGATTTCCATAAAGTTTCAATCCACATAGCACGAAGTTTGGGAGTCTCTGCAGCCTGCCAAAACAGTAAGTGTGAGGAACATCTGGCTGGCTTCTAAATCTCAGTGAACTTGACCCCAAAGCTGGTTAAAATCAATCACTACATGATCTTGTCACTCTTAGCTTCTCCAGCTCTCCCAGCTGGTGCCAACATGGGATGTGGCTTAGAGGAACCCTAGGGAAGGGGTTAGGAAAAGCCTGTGGTGATCCACCAGGATGAGGAGTGGGCCTGGAAAGTGTTTCAGAATTGCTGCAATCTCAAGGATTCTCAATGGAAAGGACATTTTATTTCCTAAGTTTTGCATTGAGTGGCCATTGTATGCCTGGAGATAGAAGTATTTGCAAAATACTTATGTTATTAATAATTAAGCTATAAGAAGGTTTTACCATAAAGTTCCTGAAAAGGCTTTAAGAGTAACAGCCAAGAAGTGCTTAATACATGTTTGTTTAACTTCAAGTACACAGGTTAGGCAGGAAACTAGGTGTGTAGGCTCTTTCTCTGTCATATTAGGCTGTGGACTGAACAGGTCAGGAAGCCCAGTCAGCTTCCACCTTTCTCTTAGGGGAGAGGAGCCTGGGTTCGTCAGTGACAGCACAGCATAGAGACCTTCATTCTCCTGCATGAAGTGCCGTCTGTAGCTCCAGTCTCAATGCCTGGCTGTTCCCACCTGGCATCTACAGGCAGCTGCATGCCTTTTAAAAGGGACATTGAGAAAAGTTGTCTGAAGGAGGGCAGAATTTAAAACAAAACATCCGGATCCCCACAATCCCACAGATTAGACAGTTGCCTTCACAGAAGCCACCTTACCAGAATTTTCTTCTTCCCATTTTTCATTGTAATCTCAAAGAGGTAATCACCATTCAGTGTACCAAATTCCCTCACAGCCTGCACCTAAGGAAAGGCTCACCTTATTCTGGGAATAATGACCAGTATACACAGTAATAATAAGTATTTTCACAATGCTTTTTTACTTTTCATAGGCTCATTAGAGCCTATGATCATGGATGTAAAGTTAGACAGAATGTTCGAAGCCATCAAGTACAACCCTCTCATTTTACAGATCAGGAGACTGAGGCACAGAGAGTTTAAGCAACTTGCCCAGGGTTATGAAGCTAGGAGGTGTTTGAGGTAGGATGAGGACCCTGGTCTGCTTGGTCTCCCTGCCTAAGTCCTCCCCACTGAAGTCTCTCCTCCACTCAGCTGTCAAATTAATCTTCCTAAAGCACAGATCTCACCATGTCATCCCCCACTTAATAAACTCCCAAGGCTCTCCATCACTTTCAGGATCAAATATAAAATTACATTTAACATTCAAAGCCCTTTGCAACTTGGCACCCTCCTACCCTTCCAGTCTTCCTCCTCCTTACTCCCCCCATATACTCTACGATCCAGTGACACTATTGCTATTTCTCAAACAAGAGACTCCATCTCGGGGCATTTTCACTTGCTGTCCCCCATCCCTGGAATACTCTTCCTCCATATCTCTACCTCCTGGCTTCCCTGGTTTTCTTCAAGTATCAGATAAAATCCATCTTCTACAACAAGCCTTTCCTGATCCCCCTTAAAGCTAGTGCCTCTCCCCTGTTGAGATATATATCTATATAGCTATATATACACACATATATACACATATACATATACACACATACATACACATACATGTATACATATATATTTCCAATCTATCCTGTACATACCTTATTCGTAAATAGTTCTGTGCATGTTGTCCCCCTCATTAGACTGTGAGCTCCTTGAGGGCAGGGACTGTCTTTTGCCTTTCTTTGCATCCCTAGTGCTTAGCACAATGCCAGGCACATAGTAGGTGTATTGACTGATCGACTTTAGGTCCAATGCCCTATCCGCCATGCTATACTCCTGATTTTCTAGTTGGGTTTGCATGCTATTCTATTTTCATGGCATCTCATAACTTTACAGGTATGAAAACTGGGGCACAGAACGATCAGTCCAAGATCAGAAATAGTCAACAGCCAAGCTGGTACTGCTGACTTCTATCCCCTGACACTCAGGTCAATTCACTTTCTGTAAAGCCTCTTGGATATGCTTAGATTTAACAAGTGTAAGAAAAACACATCTACCAGATAATGAAAAGAAACCCGGAACCTTCTTGCCAAGTGCCACGGAAGCTCTGATTATGCTCTGGTTCTGTCAAACAGACTTCACCTCATGATCTTGTCTTTAACTCTTTGCTTTCTGAAGGCAGAATACATAGAGGTGTTAGGGCAGGATTGTGTTACTGCTTGTATCCAGTCATGCATCTAGGGAATGAAGGGAGGAAACTGACTGAGGAAACCTTTCTGTTCCATTTTAACTAGGTTTCCAACTGCATGGTGTCTCTGTTACCATCACTGATGTCATTCAGTCATGTCCAACTTTCCATAACCCCATTTGGGGTTTTCTTGGTAAAGATACTGGAGTGGTTTGCCATTTCCTTCTCCAGCTCATTTGACAGATGAGGAAACTGAGGCAAATGGGGTTAAGCGAATTGCCCAGGGTCACACAGCTAGTGTCTGAGGCCAGATTTGAACTCAGGAAGAGAATTCTTCCTGACTCCAAGCCCACCACTGAGCCACCTGCATGGTGTTTTACAGAATGGCAATTCTAAAGAAACAGGTCCCTTAACTCACACTCCAGGTTTACTCTTAGCAAAAAGAGGGAGTAAATATGTGAATTCCAGAAGGCTGAGCCAATACCATTCCTCCTAGCTAGTCAAGAGCCAGCTCAAGTCCCAGTTGCTCCAAAGCTTCTTTGACTGTTTTCTGCCTGCAGTGATCACATTTGTCTAGAAAATTTGATAGACTGACAGACAGAGAGATAAACAGATAATACAGATATTGATATACCAGATAAATATATATGTATATATGTATATGTGTGTGTGTATATATATATGTATATATATGTATATATATAAACTATCTACTCTCTGGAAAAAATTGTTTCTACCATTTATTCCACTTAATTGTATACTGTATATACTATCCTGTGATAGACACGCTCTTTTCCACTCTCAGAGCCAGTAACTAGGGCCATTACTGTGTGAGCTGCCATGAGGAATGGAAAGATCAGGATTCTCTTCACCTTTCACTTGTACTGCCTGCACAAATGCCCATGTTTAAGATACCTACCCAGAATTTGCAGTATTCAAAGGAAGGCCTCTCTTAGGTCAGTCAAGCCCATGCTTTGGGGGCAGTTGAGTATCATTCTCATAAAACTCCATTTACTTACTGTGTGCATGTGGTATTGTCCTCGGAGGCAAGCCTGAAAACACACAGCACCATCTCAGAAATGGCTCTCAACCTTCTCTGATCAACAGGGCAGAAAATGAATAGAGGGCAAAAATAAAGCAAACACTTACTGCATCTCCACCCTTCTTCAGAAAGAAAGAGAAGGTAGTATTTTGAAGTTGGAACCAGTATTGCACCCACAAAAATTTCTAAAAGAAAAAAAAGTATTTTAAAAAAATCATTATAGGCCATCAGGTGTTCAATACTATGCTTTTATTATTTAGCAATTTATCAACATACCACATTTTAATAGTAAGGACAGTTCTGGGATTTGTCCAATAATAATAAAGTTTACATGCAAACACGTGTAAAGATTCTTATCCAAGATGTGGTTTTTTTTTCCTTCTTCAAGATGTGATTTTTCAAGGGAACTAAGTGATGTATGACTAGAGAAACATTTTTTCATACAGTGCTGGATCTGTGATTTGAGATGGGCATTCCATTCAAGTAGAGATTCGCATCTTTCAGGAAACAGCGAGTTTATGGGACTGGGAGTATAGTTCTTCAACTTCATTGGCAATGTGGCTGGGAGCAAGGGTTCCTTCTTCACCTTTTTTGTGTGTCTTGGACCCCTCGGGCAGGCTGATGAAGCCCAAGGACCTCTCCTCAGAATTGTGTTTTTAAATGCATAAAATAAAATGGAGAAGGTTACAAAAGGAAATCAATTATATTAAAATAGATTTATAAAAATATCAGAAGTTCAGGTCAAGAATCCCTGGTATAATGAAAAGAACATTGATTGGGGTCACAGTAAGAGAGGCCTGGGTACTGACACTTATCAGCTACATGACTATGGGCAAACAGCAACCTCTCTAGGCCTCACGTTTTTCACTCATAAGGTGAGGATGGATGATCCTTGCAGTTTTCTATCACACAGGGTGACTGGGAGGAAGCATGCTGTCAACCTTAAAGTACTGATGATGATGATGACAATGATGATGATAACGACGTACAGGTGGTATTGTTTGCATGAATCAGGAAAGGAAGCCATCATTGGCTGTTGAACCCAGAGCACTGTTCCACCTGCACCGGCTACTTTTTCTTTGCTACTTCACCACCTCCAGATGGTGCCTCCATCATCTGCTCCAGGTCACCAGAGCCAAGCACCGTATCTGAAAAGGACAGCCAGAAGCCAAAGTAGCTTTGAAAACTTCAGAAGGCTTTTCAGGTATTGTCAAAATTCTCCTGCCGGATTACCATGAAAATAAGGGCCAATTAATGTTCACAAAGAAATAGATTCCTTTTTTCTTTCTTCTTTTTTTTCTTACTGAAACAAACATCTTCATTTAACTTTTATTTGCATGTTAGTGTCACATTTACTCCATGCCCTACGTTGTTGCTTCCATTTTGTGGGGGGAGATTTTTTTCTTCTAAGTTTAGGAATGATTTGTTCCTTTTCAGGAAGAATCATCTCAGTGTGGCAAGGGGAACTCATGTATGAGCCCTCTGGGTATGCCTTCATACGTGGGGAGCTTTCTTCACCTGGATAAGCTCAACGAGCAGAGAATCCACATTCAGTCTCTTCAGTTCTACAGCTGTTTCCAAGCACACAAAGCAAGCACCTGAACATTTTTGTGGCCAACGACCCCATGTCCAGCCTCATCGCACATCTGCCAACTCCACCACGGTATCAATGGAAAAGAGCACGCTATATGTGCTCTGGGTGGCCTGGATAGTTTCACTGGAGTTCTTGAAGTGGACTCAGAGATCCGAACACCTTGACTTGCATGATTTTGTGGGATTCTCTGGAGCAAGAGATTGCCTCGTGATTTTAAATGATACCTAGGGCAACTCAAAGGATCTTTTTTTACTTTAAAATTTTTTTTTCTCTGCTTCCTCCTATTTATTTTCTTATTTACAATTTTAAATTGTTTTTATATTATTTTTGTTTCCAAATATATCCCTCCTTTTCCCAGGGGCTCATCCCTTGTAACAAAGAAAAAGGAAGGAAGGAAGGAAGGAAGGAAGAGCAGCTCTGCCAAACTAACCAGCACGTCCACAGGGTCTGATGGTCATAGTCAATATTGTACACTCAAGAGTTCCCCACAGCGATATCATGTGTCAGAACTTGAACTCAGGTCCTACTGACTTCCAAGCCAAGTCTCTACTGTCCCACACTGCCTCACTATGTTCCAATTATTTGAAAACTGTAAAATCTGACTAAATGCAAAATAACTTTTAAAAAAGGTAAACTACCGACAACAAATCATTAAAATAAAACATAACTGAAGGTTGTCCATCTCTTGAATTTGAGCAACAAACACACATTTTAAGGTCAGCCTTCACGTCGATCTGGCTAGGAAGCTGACTTCGGTGTATGTGCTGATGACAGCAGCTTCCCATTAGGGACTAGTCTACAAATTCCTAACATCTGTACAGACTTTGAGCTCACAAATGAGGCTGGATCTATCCTAACAGTGCGTGGACTTTATTCAACCACCAGGTCGTGCATTTTGTGTTCCTCTATTTTTCTATCTTTGCAGTTTTTTTTCCTTTTGAATTGGTCAAAGCTAAGGCACATTTTATTCCTACGTTCTGAATACATCATTTAGTAAAGTTTTATACCCTTTTAAAGAGCCAGAACACGTTAGTGCTACACAAAGATAAAGAACTTGTCCTTTCTCTCTATTAATTATTCAATGAGCAAAGACAGGAAGACCCGAGTTCTGCTACAGCCTCAGACACCTTTTAGTTGTAGGATCCTGGGCAAATCACTTGACCTCAGCCTGTTTCCTCACCAGTAAAATTGGGTTAATAATAACATCTACCTCCCAGGGTTGTTGTGAGGATAAAAAAAAATGTGTAGCACACTTTTCAAATGATAGTTATCATTATTATTATTATTATGATATCATTAAATTGCTTTAGAGGGAAAACACATCATTAAGGTTGTTTGGCTAGGGGTGTGTTGAAGGCATCAAATTTAAAAAATAAAAACAGAATTAAGATCTTCTTTCTCCTTTGAATAGTGAAATGTTTGTCTGTTGAGTTTTAATGAATAATTAGCTAGACCACTTACCATTTTATCTTTTCTTTTCTTCAGGAAACTTGCAAAAACCAAATCCTCTCCATGAGCCATTATTTCCATGTCCTTTCCCCTGTGCAGGTTTTCACCTTGACAGTCACTCCTGGTTCACCAGGGACATTTCCTCTTTTCCAGCTTTCCCCAGCAGGTGATAGGAGGAGCTGGGCACAGAACATTCCAAACTCATCTCACTTCCTCTTCTGCGGGTCTCAAAATAGAACCCAACCTGCCCTGTCTCCCTGCCCCCAACCTCTTCTAACTTTAGGGAGCACTTCTACCACAACATTTGAAAGCATTTACAAATAAATTAGGACACTTTGCTCCTAGGCTGTTTAGCCTCATGTCCATGGTTAACATCCTGGACTTCAATAAGCAGCTCTCGAGATGTTATGTAAAAATACTGCTTAGGCTAAGAGAATGTATGACACTGAAATTCCAAAGAGTCAACATGATAGATAGAAGTTTCTGTTCCTATGACTGCCTTCCAATATACTAATGGCTGTTTATAATAAAAGTAGTCTAAAGAAATGCATGTAGAAAGTATAACCATTTGTCCAACAAACAGGGTCTCTTTTTAAGTCTTGTTCTACTTTCCAGTTAGTACTATTTATTTTTATTTCAAGCGAAGAGGCTTCTTTTTCAATCACAATTTTCTATTTCTCAGGAGTTCCTCCCCCCTTTAGTACTCTCTACTTTTTGTTATTATATTTAACTTCTATGCTTTTTTTTCTCTTACATTTCCTGCCACTTAAAAAATATTTGGCTGGAGGGCCGAACAGGGAAGAGAGAAATCAATATAAATGTTGACCATTTTTCAACTCTGTAGAAGGGATACATTTTAGAGGTAGAGGTGGGAAAGAAGTTATTTTACCCCTTACCCAGCTGCCTCTCGCACCAATCCCTCTCCTGCCCCACTTCTAGAAACTTCCTAAGATTCCCCAATGCAGTTCTAACCCCAGAGGACATGCCAACAGTCTGCCATAGTTAACCAGTTCTTCCCCCCCCACCCCGAGGTAAAAGTGCTTAAGTCCCAAATGAGAAACTTCAAAGATGATTCTAAATATAAAATATTTCTCAATCAGTTGTCAATTATCTCTGAATCTCTCACAAAAAACACTTAGAAAAGCAGCTTAGTCTAAATCAGTCTTTCACTCAGCACACAGGAATTTGGAGTTAGAGCGTAACACAATGCCTGGCACACAGTACATATTTACTAAGTGATTTGAGTTCTAAATTAGCTCAGGAACTCTGGATAACCATTCTTTAGTAAATGGGAATAAGAATTTCAAAGCTTACTGAAGACTGCCATAGGTGGAGGCTGAACACGTCCTAGATGCTTATATGATATTCCCTCTGCCCCATTTTAGAGTGGCATAGGCAAGCCACAGCCTCTCCCAGAGTCTTATCATCTGTCGATAGGGATACTTGAACTACCTATCACACGGGACAGTTGTGAGGAAGTTTTCTGTTTTTTGTTTTTTTTTTTGCCAGCTTTAAAGTACTACCTAAGTATGTTTTTAATATATCAGGAAAAAAAAATGGGGAAGCAAATAAGTAAATGTGGTGCACACTCTATTAAAAACTGATAACTAGCAATCATGTGTGACTATTGTGCTCTTCAAGGAAAGGTCAGTTCTCCAAACTGTTCCTTTAAAAGAGCAACAAAAATCTCTGAGAGGGAGAAAGGTCTTTGTGGGGAAACAGCAAATCACAAATGACTTTTGAAAACCACCTGTGAATCACTATTCTCCCATATGCCACCAAAGGCAACAACTTTGTCCTCGTTTTTGAATAGATGTCACCTTTTGTTTCAATGACAGACTTAAAAGATTTGGAAAGGGGGATAGATATGAGCCCACATCCAAGTCTATGGAGAAACACTGATTGTCTCCCAGCTCTGTCATCCTCTCTTCCCAATCCTGAACCCTTTGTGAACCATTCCTAGCTTTGTCTTCGTGAATCCGGGCCTTGGATGAATTACTGCCATCATCTCTGCCCCTCCACTCTAACTCACATGCTGCTGGACTGAGACAGAAGAAATCACAACAGGGGGCTGGCTGACTTGTTATCCAGTCTCATGGGACCCTTGCTCCAACAAGGTAATCCTTTTATGTCTTTCCTAACTGGTTGCCTATCCCACCTCCCACTGTGGCTGTTCCAGACCTTTCCTTCCCTCTTCAAACATGCCACAGCACCCCTGGCCACCACCCTTCTCAGTGGAGGTCCCCTCCAAAGTTCCTTGAATCTGATTTGTCTATATCTTGTGTAGATCTATATATGTACATGCAGTCTCTGCTATTAGAATGTAAAGTTCCTTGAGGACAGGTAATGTTTTGATTGTGTCTTTGAATCTCTAGCGTTTAGCACAATGTATGGCACACAATAAGCACTTAATTGGGGCAGCTAAGTGGATAAAGGGCCAATAGGCCCTGGAGTCAGGAGTACCTGAGTTCAAATCTGGCCTCAGTCCAAATAGCTGTGTGACCCCGGGCAAGTCACTTAACATCATTTGCTTCAGTTTCCTCATCTGTCAAATGAGCTGGAGAAGGAAAGGCAAACCCCAAACGAGGTCATGAAGAGTCTGACGCAAGTGAAATAACTAAACAGCAAAGTGCTTAATAAATGCTGGTTAACTGACTGATTTCTAGGAGAGAAGACTCAACATAAAAAATGAAACACAGTACACATTAGTTATTTATTGAAATACTTTAAAAGGTTGATGATGAAAAAAATAAGTTTATCGTGAGGGTTTGGATTCATTAGATTTATTCTTTCATTTAAAAAAGTTGCTGTCTACAGGGAGTTCTAACCAGGTATAGAACACATCAGAAAGCATGCGGCTACTGTGATATTCTACAACAGAGCAAGAACTGTGCACCCCCTTGGCACCACGGATACAGCGAGGACACGATGATTTACAGTTGGAGGAAATTAAACAGTAATGGTCTTTTGAACTAGAAACATTCATAATGTATAAATTGGTTCCTCCCCTGTGTGATCTGAAAGGGCTTAAAAAATACAACATGTTCAAAAATTAAGGAATACACAACAATTACATTGATTCTTTTGCTATGTGACTTTGTGAAAGTTTCGCTCCACCCTCAAAGGGGAGCCTCACGTCCAGCTGTGCACGTCAGAGATTGTACCAAGCCTCGGTGGCTGGTGTGCCAGAGTGAAGCTGTCCTCGAAATGAAACAAAACTCTATTGGAAAACTGATGCCTACCCTCCATGGAGAGACAATTGTGAACTGTGCCTCATATAGCTTAGGGCCCCCTCCCACCCCACCCCCAAAGCATCATTTCAAATGAATGTCAAATAAATAAGTAATCCATGAGCAAGTACAATTGAGTTGAACTAAAATCTATGATAGTGAGTTCCAATTAAACACTAACTAATATGATGCTATGTGGAAACATCTATGGACAGCATTTCCATAACTCAGTTTTCTCGGGAAGCCACATATCTTGCTGCCTGAATATGTACATTATTTACAGAACATTCCCTTTTGGCCTCTGCAGCACGGCCACCTTTCTGTGGCCAGTAAGTAGAGTTTTCTTTTGCATACACTAGCCAATACTGCAGTCATTGCTATCTTAAAATACTCTTATGCAAGAATTACAAATATTAATAAAGTAACTCTGCATATATAAATATCTCAACATTTCTAGCAGAATTTAAAGCATTCAGAATGTACATAAAAGTATCGGTTTTTGGTAGGGCCGGTATTATACTTGTTTAAATCATCGCTGTTTCAACAATGCTTTATACATGGCAAACCCCAAAACTGCAAACACTGTAGCACCAAAACTTGCTCGAAGCCAAAACGTGGAGCTCTTGAGGTCGGCTTGCGTCACGTGCCTGCGGTCAGAAAACAGAAGTAATTTCAAAAACATGATTTATTTGAGAACATAGTGTCACATCAATCAAGAACTTTTAGGGAAGTATTAGGACACTTGTCAGGTTAATTCCAAACTGCTACGTTTACTGAAGCTTTTCATCACTACAGCTGATAACAAAGTTCAGCCATTACTGTCTATGAGGAAAAGAGGTAGGAGCTTTGCAATTAGCTAACACTTTGGAATAGATGAGGTTTAGGATTTTTCATTACTGCATTTTTGTCATGAGGAAAGACCAATAAGTAGGAAAAAAAAACAACCCACTATTTTAAATTATCTGCTGGTTATCAAAAATGAGAAATACAATCAAGTTTTCACATCTTTGAAGGTGATTTTGCTGAATTCAAACAATGAGCAAAATCACCCTAGTCCAGGAAACTCAAGATACATTAGGCAGCTTAGTGACAAGTGGCAATACTTTTCTAAGAGCAGTGATAAATCAAACTTTAAAAATCCTAGTCCCCTTTTAAAAATCTGGAGGAACCCCCCCCACCAGAGAAAAAAAACTACTAGTTTGCATCACATTAAAAACTTGTTAATAGAAAACCAGGTGTTAGTTAAACAGGCAGCGACAACAGTACAAACCAAAAGACGCAATGTAACATGGTAAAATGAAAGTGGTTGGATGACATAAAAGATGCCATGTTATGCACAACAAGGGTCGGACAGCCAATGACCCCAATCTCCCCCATTACCACAAACTAAGTTTGTGAACATGCTCAGTTAAAAACACTGCTGGCCACCCTCAAGAGCCTCAAGTATGACAGCTTACCACAAGGAAGATAAAGCTTTAAAGCCAAGGTGGGACTAAGGACTTTATTCAAGTGTCACCAAAGTTTTGGTTAAGCAAATGCAACTGAGGTGATGTGGGAAGCCTATGGATTAAAGGGCTTATGGGTATTGTCTAGGCTGGGTTATTTTTAGACCTACCTACATTGAAGAAACAGATTTTAGGTGAAAGTTAAATGTCTTCAAGGAATGACACACCGAGTGTATAAACACATGCAGAAGAGAGTTAATAGCCAAGACATAAATTATACCAAATTATTTTGCCCCTTGACTAGTCACAGACTGCAGAATTACCTTAGTTCCTAAACATTTCACTGCATGTTGTAGCTAGGGTGATTCTGCATTCCATGAGCCCCAGGAGCTGGGAGCCACCAACCCAAGCCTCAGTATTCCATGCTTATCAGTACTGCCCAGCAGCACAGCACTCCAATGCTCTCCCTCACACATCAAAGGAAAAGTAAATCTCTCTTTTAAAATTATTCTTTATGTGTGTTTTGAAGAGTAAAATGATAACACAGGTGCATCCCATTTTACAAGTTAGTTCTTTTAACATACAATATCTTTTTCTTTTTTAATCACTTAAGGAACTAGATATCTGGGTTTCAGTTTTTCCAACTGGAAAACACCCAGAAGGGTCAAACCAGTGAGCGTGGGAAATGTTACCTGGCTTCAAGAAAAAGTGGACCGTGAGATGACTCCATGAAGATGGAATTTTCTACGGAGCTGACAGCGTGCACCTGGTGAACAATACTGCCTTCATCGTCTGCTAACAGCGTGGCACCCCACTCAGCTACCTGGGCTCTTAACCTTTTGCACACATGCACAGTTGTGGTTCATGGCACAGCTCAACACAGCAAGGGTCTTAAAATATACCTCTCAGTTACACACCCCATAATATAAAGTTGGTTATTGTGTTTTGTCTCATTCTTCCTACCTTTTTCAGACTTTAAACAAATTTATTCTATAATGGGGTTATCACATCCAATAAACATTTTGTTAAAAATAACCTTTAACACCTGAACAAGCAACTCTATGGCTCTTACACACATTTCTATTCTTACCACTGCTGTTTCTAACGATAGATATGAGACACTTCGATTAGCTCCTTGAAACCACTACCATTTGGCACTTTTTGGCAAATATGGGCACACCAAGTATCCGTTTATGACAAGGCTAACGACCAGGTCCTGATATATCTGCATCACCCAAACACCAACAGGGTAAATCACCCACAGTCTAACTCTTTTACCTTTACCTGCAGACTAATTAACCACTGTGTATGAAAACCAACACACATCCCCAACTAACATCTTAGAAACTACAAAAAACACACAAGTTTACATTGACTGATGTTTTCATGGCAAGTGAGAGTCTCTAAACTACTTTAAGTCAACAGGGACGTTATTCTAAATAGGAACACAGGCTACAGGTACATTACAGAGCCTACCTTTGTGGTGGGCTCCGACAGCAGCCAAAGCAATAAGATTTCTCCATTCAGTATCAAGGGTAAGTTTCTTACCTTCTCTGCTTCAGAAACCCCTCTTTAGTCCCTATCTCCTTACTGGGATTAATCTCACATTTTTACCAACATGATGAACAGGTGTTTTTTGTTTGTTCTTATTTTTTTAACCTTGGGGAAGGAGAGGAAAGACAGGCTTCCTATAATCATATGAAAAACACAGTCGAAAGGATTTCCCAACACAGAATGTCTAGTTCTGTAAAGATGTTTCATGTAGGCTCCTCTTTGTTGGAGTTATAACAGGGGACGCTATTGAAGAAAATATCCATCTTAACTTGACAGCTCAGTTTTCATTAGCTTTGCAAAACAGTATTTATCTATTCCCCACAGCACTCTATGTAATACAGATGCACATATTTACACATGAGAAACATCAAATGCACACTGCTGGGGCCTGGCTCACACGAATACATCCCCTTAACGCCACTGGTTTACTGTAATACTTAAGGCAAGCAACCACTTACTCATAAAATACTTCAACATCTTCATCAATGTTACAGATATTCTGGGATATAGAAACATACTTGGGAAAATCAATTATTCTTTTACTAAATGTACTTGAAAGCTGTACTAACTCAGCAGTAATTATAACAGAGAAGGCATTTATAAGTCTGACAGCACATCTGTCATTACTCAGCTAACTGACATCACATGAACAGAAACCAGAGGGATCTAATAGGTATTAGTCAAGGAGTAGCAAGGTCTGATTCATGTTTGTTATTTCAGGAGATCTTTAGCCTAGGTACAAGTACTGGTTTCATAAAACTGCCCAAAGGCGAGCCAAAACCACACCTCAGTGATCCCAAAGCACAAATCTTTCATAGCGGCTCACGCCAATTACCACTCTAGAAGACATGTTGATATCTTTTGACATGTCTTTGCTACCTCAACTACCTTCCAGGATCTTCTCATGTTGCTTGCCAGCATAAGATCATACAGTTCAGCAATTCTTAGTGGTAATATCTGATTGGAACATAAATAATGAATTAAGTATGACTAAATGCTTGAAGCAGCCTTTACTTAAGTGAATGGTGTTTATATAGGTGCCTAAAACACATTGTATATTACAAGTGTAATTACATATGTGCAGGGTGAGCTCTAAGTCCCTGCAACATGACAAATATTAGCAACACTGAATATACGTTTCCACTTCCCCTGTTTTTTTGCTTTATAAAACAAATGTGAAGTCTGTTTTAAAATTTGAAGAATATGTTGAAATTTTATACTGGGTACACATCAATACACTTATAAGTAATCCCAAAAGGACTTGATCAGAATTCAATCTACCCTAGAACGTATAAATTGGGGGGAGAAGGGAAGAGTAACTGACCAGTGAAATGAAGTACTTTATCATACAGAAAGCACTTTCCTCACATCAACCCTGTGGAATGGGTAGTACAAATATTACTACTTCCATTTTACAGAGGAGAAACCTGAGGTTAATTAAGATGTCTCCAGGTGATCTGGTAAAAGCTAGGCCTCAGAAGCTTAGGCCATGTGGCCCTTGAGTCAAGTGTCTTTTCCACTATATCACATTAACTCTCATGTTACATACACCTTAGTAGGGTGCCAAATTAGGGGTGAGGGGAGGTTAAAATGGGATCAAGAAAAATTTATTTTCTTTAGCATATCAAATGCAGGCCACTTCACAACACAAGAATTCCCTAGATGACGACAAGCTTTCTGGGGCTTGTTTAACAAAATGACCTGTAAACTCAGTGTTCAGGGGTCCTGGATGTGCTCCTACTAAAAACCGGTCAGAATACTGAGAAGCAGGGTATGAGGGAGAGGGGCATGGTGGGAAGGAAGTCACTAATTCTGGTGTGGGGGTGGAAGGGCTGGGGTTCCAGTCCCACCTCTGACCCTTACCACCTGTGGGGCTATGGGCGAGTCACCCTGGCCCTCATTTCCTCATCTGCAGAATTTGGGGTTTTTGGACCAGCCAGCCTCTGAAGGCCCCTTCCCTGCAGATGGAGGATCTGAGGATGGGAAAGGGAAAGAGCAGGAAGGCTAGGCCCAGGGCAAGGACACTGCAGATGCTGTTGTGCCTCTCCAGTGATCCTTCCCCCTTCTCCTTCTCCTTCTCTCTGTAATCTTATATCCCTTCCAACACTCCACGCAACGTGCACGCACACTGACACTGTAAGCATGAAGTTAAGTTAGAAGGACAAAATAAATTACCACAGTGTTTCTACAAAGTCCGAGCTAACATGGACCTACAACCACAGCTAAGACCACATTCTAGTCGTCACAACACTAGAGACACAGAATGAAAAAGCAATCCAGGCCTCCCCAAACTAACACGCAGGTGACCGTTATCATGTCCTGCTTGGTTCTGGGGTTTTTTAATGGGGGAGAGCCTGGGGGTGTCAGGGCCCAGGACTTTGAATGTAGAGATTTCCTCCAGCAATACAGACTGTCAATGATCTGTATCTCAGATCCTCAGGGACTCAGATCCTTGGATTTAAGTGATTTGCCCATAGTAACACAGCTAGTTAGTGGTCAGAGGCAGGGTGGGAATTCAGTTCTTCCTGACTCTAAGACCAGCCAGTCCCTACTCTGCTGCTGTACCATGCATAACCAAATTTTCTAGTCAAAAGAAAATTTGTCTCTCAGATTTTTAGAATGTCTTGCAAAGAAATGCTTTTTTGAAATTACGTGGCTGTCAGTTTTCTGACTTCATTTTCCTTTTTCTATTCCTTCTTTGGCAAAGAGTATTTTGAATATTCATTTTTAATATAAAAGTTGATTCTATTCATTCAAACTCTAGGCCCCAGAGCCATGACAGAATGCAGCATTTTGGTGACATGAAATGTTTCAATCTGTTTTTTTCCAAAATATTTTTAGATGGGGCAGCTAGGTGGCGCAGTGGATAGAGCTCTGGCCTTGGAGTCAGGAGGACCTGAGTTCAAACCTGGTCTCAGATACTTGACACTTACTAGCTGTGTGACCCTGGGCAAGTCACTTAACCCCAATTGCCTCACCAAAAAGCAGAAAAATAAAAATAAACAAAATATTTTTAGAATTTACAATACAAATGCCCGATGTGGGTTACTAGCACCACATTCTATAAGCAAGCTGTTAACTGAGCATGCCTTAATACTAACACACTTTGTAGAAGGACAGAACTATGGCCCCATGACCAGGAATGCTTCCCCGGACATCAGCAGAATCCAGATTTGGAGAAGATGGAAGTTACAGAAAAATGCTCTAATATCATCTAAGTACACCTAAATAGACAAAGAGCATCAGATAAGGCAAACCACAGCTTGCCTGACATTTTAACACACCAATAAATAGATACTTGTCAACTAACAACAAAATCTAAAAGATGCAAGCAGCAGCAATTTACTTGAGGAGACTTTAACAAGTTCTTGTGTTAAGTAGGTGAATACAATTAACAAACTTTTGCAAGGAACCAGTTGCTTTCACAACGAAAGCCTAACTGAATGTCATATGTACAGTGAGCTCCTTGAATTGCAGTTAGGCACCATCATTTTGCTTTCAAACTAGAAAGAAAAGGACAAAATCCTTCCACACAACCAACCTCTTTAATATGTGTAACATTTGAGGTTCCACATTATAACTATCTGCATTTGTATCTTATCTTACCAATTGAACAAACATTTATTAGGCACCTCAGAGATTCTGTGAGATGCTTGGGGTACAATGTTAAAAAAAAGACTCTGCCTTAAGGAGCTCATGGTATACTGGAGGCAAGGAAAAAGGCCTTACTTTAAACACAAATAAGTATAATATGAGGTAGGAAATGATGGCAGCAAAAGAGATCTGTGAAAGAACTTTGCATCTCCCCCAATGCTTGGCAAAGACAGTGGGCACTCAGTAACAAACATCTGAGTGAATGAATAAAGGCAATGTAACTTACAAGTTTATAGGTGAGACAACAAAAAGCTTCCTTGAAAAAACATGTTTTTATTAGTGTGCTGTCCAAGGCACGGACTAGGACATCCTATTTCTAGGGAACCTCCATCACAGAATAACTCTAAAGGTTTGAAAATGGGAAGGTCTCTTCTAAAAATGGTTGTGGATTGAAATGACAGGATCTGAAGAAAGAAGTGATGACCATTAGAGCTGACATTTGTACTGGTAACCAATTTTGTAAATTCCTGTAATCAAGTAAGTTTCTGATTTTAAAAATGTTGCTGGGAGTCCTAACGGGCACAAGAACTACATCTCATAGATGGAAAGGTATAATCATCTTCTACTCAAAGATTCAACAGAAGGTAAACTAAGAACTTTGTTACCAGAGTAAAATGCTGCTCTCATGGTACATAAACAATGATTGAATGACTTGACTAAACTAATGCAAATAATTAAAATGGAATAGAAGAAATGTAATTCTAAAACAAAAGTGGGAAACAAGTAAGCCACAAAACAAAGTCCCCAAACAGAAGATTCTTTGATAAACATGTGGCTAAAATAAATAGGAGAATTTGACATAGAAATATGTGTAGGACGTGTACAAAGAAAAGCTGTAAAAAGTGTAAAAGCAGTAGACGAGTGCTAATGAATGCCTACAAGAAAGAAGAAATTAAAATTACATAAAGCCCCACATTAGATAAACAATTCTCATGCATAGCATGGGAGTGTATGAGTTCGGAAGGAGGACCACTAAAAAGGTCTTGGGTACTTCAAACAAATGGTATAATTTGCACTTTTACACTGATTTTGACTCCATTAAAAAAAAAATCAAGAAATTTGGCAACTTTCTGCAAGAAGGATTAGATATAAAAATAAGCATAAAATGTACATAAAAGGTATTTTTCATTTTCTAACTAATATAGCTCTCATTATGGAACAGTGCAGGAAGATGCAGGGAGGAAACAAGCATTATTAAGCACCTACTGTATGCTAGGCATTGTGCTAAGCACTTTACAAATATTACTTCTTTTGAGCCTCACAATAGCATTATGAGGTAGGTGCTGTTACTAACTTCACTTTACAGTTGGGGAACTGAGGCAGAGGTTAAGTGACTTGGGAGGAAAAAGCCTTGATGACAGGTTAACAATATAATTTATCATCATGTAAAAAGATACACCTGAACAGAGCAGGCAAGAGCAGAATCTCCTTAGTGCAAGGCCTATATGACTTTTACTTTGAAAAGGAGTTCAATAAACATCACTCTATTTGTGTTTTCAGTTTTACATGCCGAATACAGCATATACTCAGCTAAACAGAATCAAGAGATTTTAAAAAAACAAAATGGTTAATAGTTAGCCTCTTATCCTAGAGAACAAAATTAGAAAAACAAGAAGTACCAATGCTGTTTAACAGATAAAGGGTTATCTTTCTGGATGGACTGTTAAAAAACTATGCCTGAAAGGGACTAGCTGGTAGGAGTCCAATGGATCATTTCTTTTCCCCTTCCTAGGCCGTCAACATTTAATTTTTCAGCTATCTATTTTCACGTCAGAGTTAAAAAATTTGGATGTTACTGGCAGACATTAAGCTATTCCCAATTTATAAATGGTTGTAGTTAAAGTACCTATAATTCTTCAGAGATCAGGGACGCAAAATGGTCCACTGAATGGTTCCATAGTATTTCTTATACCTACCTCCCCTGTGTTGCAGTTTAGGTCAAAAGTATTGGCCTAAAGTCACTGTGGTCACCAAAAGAACCCAGGTAAAAAAAGAATATAAATAAAATAGGTGATAAAGTTAGATAATACACATTACACACAGCACTCCAAGATACCCTATGAAACACCAATATGTAATAGAAAGTCACTAGGTTGGGGCAGCTAGGTGGTGCAGTGGATAGAGCACCGGCCCTGGAGTCAGGAAGACCTGAGTTCCAATCCAGCCTCAGACACATAACCCTTACTAGCTGTGTGACCCTGGGCAAGTCACTTAACCCTACTGCCTAGCAAAAACAAACAAAAAAAGAAGAAGAAGAAAAAAAAATAAAAAGTCACTAGGGATGTCTAGAATGGATTATCAATGGAGAACAGTATCATGAAGTAAAAAGAGCACTCAACTTGAGAGTTAGAAGACTTGATTTCTAGTCCAACTCTGACCCTAACTGGCTATGTGTTCTTGGTTAAGTCATAATAACCTCTGGGCCTCAGTTTCCTAATGTGTAAAATGAAGGAGTTGGGCACAGAGGATACAGCTCCTTTTCATTTCTAAAATTCTGTAAGTCTATGGGTTTGTGAGCAATAATTATTAGGAACCCATGTAGATTTACCTAAGAAAATATCATGCCAAAATCAACCTCATGTCCTTTTTTATAGAACCACAAGATTTGGAGATCTGTGGAATACTATAAATACATTGTAAATGATTTCAGCAAACAGATAATATGCTCCCATGACATCCTTGCAGATATGATGATGAAACCCTGATATAGGGAGATTCACAGCTGGCATCCAAAAGAGTACTGACAGGGTTCTCTTTCAATCTGCAGGATGTTTCTTCCAGTTAAGTCTTACCAGGCGCAAATGGGGATTTACAAATCCAGCACTTTCAGCAACAGTTTGGATAAAGACATAAAAAGAATTCTTACCAACTTTGCAAATGACAAAGAACTAGGAGGTATAGCTAATAAAACAGACTAAAGATTCAAAACAATTTCAACAGGCTAGAACGACAAGCAAAAACCAAGATGAAACTTAACAGGGATAAATATAAATTCCTGCATTGAGGTTAAAAAAAAAATGACTGTATAAAATAGGCAGGGGAGCCTTGGTTTAGGAGTAGTTCACATTAAGATGATAAGTATGAGCCAACAGTGAGGCGTAGCTTTTTAAAGAGCTAACATCATTAACAGAAATGCAGTAGACAGATTAGAGAAAATACAAGTTAAACTGTATTGTGTAGGGGTCAAACTACATCTGAGAGTCATTTCAGTTCTAGGAGTCACATCTTAAGAGGAACAGTACCAAACCAGACAGTGGTCCCAGGCAACTAGGACAGGGAGGATCTCATCTGAGGAATGGAAATGGGGCTAGTTAACCTACAGAAGAAAAGAGTAAAGGGAGACATGATGAGCATGCCAAAAAATGAGACGATGATTGTGCTTTTCTACAGGAAAGAGAGAGGACTAATGGGTGACATTGCAGAAATGGAATAAGGAAAAAAAATTATTCCAACAAGGAGTTACTGGGTTATTTAGTGGCATGACTATTTTAAAAGGTTCCCATCATTAGATATGGCCAGGTGGAGGCCAAATGACCTTCTCTGTAGGATGCTGTATTAGCAATTCTTGTTCTAAATGACAGCATGATTTGTAAGGAGTCTATGAATATGGAGCCACTGGGTGAGAGAATTTAGTTTGAGCTCCCATTTTTTTTACCAAACCAACAGAATAGTTTCTGTATGGTTAATGTTTTATAAAGGGGTCACAATAAAGTAATAAGATGGATTTTTAAATAAAACTAACTGAATTTTTACAATTCAATAATATTTTACCAGTCACTATATATTCTGAACCACTTCTGGATCTTCTCTTTTGGAACTGCCTTTAAAGCCAGTTTACAAGCTACACTAGAAATAAAGAGGTCATCACATCTCATTCTTTATTACTCAGCTTGATTGCAATTTTATTTACCAGAATTAATTCTGAACAACATCTGAATGCTTAAAAAAATAAAATAAAATCTACCACCAAAGGACAAAGATTTGCCAGCACAAAGGATATTCTAAAAAATGCCATAGGCTTGAAGAAGATTCCAAAAGAGGGTTTCCAGATACATTTCTGATCCCTGGCAATGCTGCTGAAGCAAATATAAAAACTTTGAGAGTGACTGCACTGAAGGAGATCAGATTATTTGTAGGAATAAGTTCTGTTCTGTGAAACAATCCAGTGATATTACTTTACAGTTACACCTCTCACGTACCAGGAGACAAGGACTTACAAAAACGCAACTCTCAAAAAGTGGCCCTGCTGGCCCTGAAATTCCTTTCCCATATTACTCTCGGTCCTTAATACAGGTGACGTGAGATGCTATGTGGCTGAGGAGTCAAAGCCAATCAGTTAGCTTCAAGAATAGAGGTTAAGAAGCTACAGTTTTCCTCACAACACATCCACTAGTTTAGATAAATCTAATATGCCGTGAACATTAGTAAGGTCATTTGGATAACATTGTAATTTGTCTGAATAAACTCAATACAATAAAATACCACCTACCACTGTAATCTTTGTATTTCAGGTGTCTTCAACTTTCCAACATTTCTAAAATATTTCTACTCCAATCTCTCTATTATCATTCAACATTAAAAAAATTAAAACATCAGCCTCCTTAAAGCAAAATCCCAAATCTTCCTTACTCGTTCCGTCACAGCATCCCCAAATCCATCTCTTATCTTTAAGAAATTACTAAGGATGGTCACAAATCCTAAGTACGAACCACCATTCAGCACAATGAGAGTTTTAGTGCCAATTAGTTGCATTTTAAGACTAGTCTCCTGGCCAGTGGTGGCTACGTAGTGAAAATCTGTATTAAAAAGAAAAGTATCTACTTTCTTTCTTTGGTATTTTAATAGAATGCCCGGCAGGCAGTAAATAAAGCGAGGACCTGGTAAGAACTGCCGTGAAGAGTTTGTTCTTTACAGATTGCAGCAAGTCTGAGTTGAGGAAGCTCTGACAGATGCAGAATGTGCACCTGTTGCAGGTGCACAGACAGCGTAACCGGGCATGGCTGCGAAAACACACAGAAGGACACAGTTGAGTTCTTACTCACCAAAGAGGCACCGCGGGGCTGTGCCAATTGTTTGTTGTTGTTGTTGTTGTTTTAAAGAGACTTAAGGCATCAGCAACACTTACGGAGGAAAGGGGCAGCTAAGGGTGGACTAAAGCTGTGCAGAGCGGGAAGCTCCCTGAGGCGACCAGATGGGCCACAACACCCATGTATAAGACCTAAGGACACAGGTCAAAACTTGTGCTTTTGGAGAGGGTGGTGGGAAAAAAAAATTACGATTGCAGGATTTTTAGTGTCTGCACAGCGTTAGATGGCACCCTCATCAGAATTAAAAAAAAAACAACACAATCTGCCAACAGGATGAAGTTTTGTTTGCATTTAAAATAATCTCCACTCCCCCTCCCCTAGCACACACACACATGCTTGAAAACCAGGAAGGAGTAAGTGCTGCTGGTGAATAAAAGACAACAAAAGACAAGTCTATCCACTTCCAGAGAAGCAGGAATCCCACCCCCACCCTCAATTTACCCATCACTTTGGGTCCCAAAGGAAACCAAAGTGCCTCCTAATCTCCCTGGAGCCTCATGGTGGGGTCACAGAGCTCTCCACCGAAGCGCAGGAGCTGCTGCTCCTGGCAGGCAGCACCCGGGACTCTAGCTAAGGAATGATGGACCCCAAGTGGAATCAGGACGGGCATGAACTGAGGGGCCTTTCAAATGGAAGGGAGCAATTTGGCAGTCGCAGGGCACGACTCATTGCACCTCAACCCATACGACCAAGGGCCAAAGCTGCTCTTTAATCATGGCCAGCTGGTCAAGCCCAGTCAGCATCTGATACCTGGACAAGTCCTCCCACACCCTCCCTCTAGAGGCCTGAGGGGCAGGGCTCTCAGAAGAGGGACCACTAGGTTATCAATCAACTGCCCATCTGGCAACCTCTGAGCATGGCCAGAGGCTTCTCAGCTGGACAACACGGCTGCGCTGGTGAGAGCTGAGGAGGGTCATGGCAGATGGTGGTGGGATGGTTAGGGAAGATTAGCAGTACCCCATGGAGAAAAAAAATTTTAGTTAAGTTTCAATAAGAACCGAAACATTCCTTTTAAAAACATGACTTGTGAGGATGAGAACATCACTGATACTAAAGCCATTACCAGCTGTCATACTGGAATCCATCTGTTATTTTATAAATTGAATCTAAGTCTTTAACATACATAAAGCTCTACCTATCAAGAACAGCACGATGCAAAGCATGCCTAGCAACAGCAAGAGGCTTCAGGAGAAGGAGCTTCAGAATCACCAGAGGACAGGTCTCAATGTATGTACATTTTTCAAATATACGTGTGTATACATATGCATACATGGATACTGTGAGATGCATTTTAAAATGCAAATCTACATAAAAAGATGTATATAAAAACATGTTAAAAGCATACATTATAAAAAAGACACCATACACCAAGCAATAAGCTTTACCAAGCAGTGCGTTTCTACGTGATTATGGCATATTAAAAAGTATTATAAGAAAAGACATTTGGCAATCCTGAAAGAAAACATCAGCAAAATCCCTGGGAAACTATAAGGAAAAAAATAACTTACAAAGTAGTTTTTTTTTAGAAAGACCCAGAGTTTTCCTCAAATTCTCTATTCTATTAATGTTGCTAATGTCTTAGTGGAATCTGTCTCTGTAATGATCCTCTCTGCATATATGTTTTAAAGCAATAACATCATATAAATTGTACAAATACAAGGAATTACTAGTCTTATAGTACTAGGAATGATTTCTCAGAAGAGTCAACTATTTGACTTTTAAAATCTCTAATATACTAACATTCTGAAATTATCCTTTTGCTGGGAAGAAGATAAACCAATCTGGCTTACAGCAATGTCTGATTATTACTCTTCATCATACTGCATTTTTTCATAAGAAGAAAATGTCAAGATCTATATGATGAATAAGATGTATATAATAGTGAATTTTTCACTTTAAACTCCTAAGAAACGCACTGCTCAAAACATGATATTTTGTTGCAAAACAGAATGTATCTCTCAGAATATGCCTCAGTGATGCATTTTAAGATAATTAGTCAACTTAACATGACCAGCTCTGTGCATGTGTATATATAAACATATGTATCAGTATATTGTAAATGTACACAAAATTGTGGCTCATAGCCATGAATGGAGAGCATTTATCCAGCTCAAATTCCCTCTACACTAGGCTTTGCAGCTTATACAATTGAACTTTCTTTTGCCTTACTCTCCCTTATCTCCAATGACAATTAACTACCAGTAGGAGAGAAGTTCACATGAAGAAAGGACATATGAAAAAGGCCAATTCCCACACACTGGTTAAAAACCAAAGAAACAAATTCTTTTTTGATTTGTGTGATGATGTCTTAAAGGCACCATTATATATTGCAGTAGGCTTTGTTTTAAAGCAAGGGCTGCGTTTTTATGGATTATTCAATCTCTGAGAAATAAAATACCTTCCAAATGAAACTGTATTCTCTTTGATTTGTACTTTTCTCACTGACAGGTCTCTTTCTGTTGCTAAATCACTTCGATGTGGCAGCATTCTACCCTCACGACTGACCATGGCATGCAACGCCCCTGTGACCCGTGCAGCCTGCCAATAAGAGACAGCAAGTACTTACGGATACATGGCCATTGTTGTCAACTTAACAAAGATATCCTTACTCGGTGCATCAGCAGTATTGCAAGTGAAGGCTTGTGGTGGAGGCATTTTGTGTTTCCTGCAGAAGTCACTGGGTGAAATGCTATACTCTTGTCGAATTTCATGTAGGTCTGACTTTGCAGCTACAATTAAGCAGGGTATTCTACTGTCCATGAAGTGTTGCTATGCAAAGAAAAAAAGAGGAAAAACCCTTCAAAATCAAGGCTACATGAAAACTCAAGATCATCAGTCTATGAAGGGTGAATGAACTGTTTCAGTTCTAAATTGGGAAGGCATCATTATTTTCAAAAGGATTAACAGAAAGAATCACAACTCAAAGACTTGGGTTGTTTAGGTCACTCAGACTACAAACAGGATCTGAACAATCTTTCTTTAATCTAGGAAACGAAACTAATCTATACTGATGCCCTAGGTTTGCTAAAGATTTGTTAATTCCATATAGGCATGAATTTGATAACAGAACACAACAGATACAAACCTTAAAAATCCTGGCACAATATTCAAAGGACTTGGGATTACTGACATCATACACCAGGCATACAGCATCACATATGATCTCTGCCTCGGTTAAGAATTCAGATTCAGAGATATCATGCAACTTGAAAGGAAAGAGAATGATTAATGTAAATACCAGGAAATAGATAATGGTTCATTGTATGCTAAAAGTAATGCTTCTACACTAAAAGGTAGCTGGGGGCACCACAGTGCACAGAGCCCTGGGCCTGGAGTCAGAAAGACCTGAGTTCCAATGTATTCTAAGGCACTCACTAGCTGTGTGACTCAGAGAAAGTCACTTAACCTCGGTCTGTCTGTCTACTGCATGTTTCTTCATCGGAAAAATGGAGATAATCAAGCACCTACCTTCCTGGGCTGTTGTGAGGATCAAATAAGATAACATTTGTAAAATGTTTTGCAAAACTTAAAGTGGTATGCGCAAGAGAGTAGATCAGAACCTCGTAGCAAATGTGAAAATGAACTGACTTAATGTGGGCATGACAATGAGGCATAGTGGAAATCACAGGTCCAATTTTAAAAAAAATCTGGGAATGAGAGTGCTGGTGAGGGGGAAGGCGTAAACAATTAGTTCATTTTTTTTTTTTTTGACATGTCTTGGGGGTGGGGAGAATTAATGAACATTCAGAGGAATCAAACCAAAGACAACCTCTCTTCCATATCTTCCTTCTGCACAAGACAGCCCTCAACTCCAAGGTTAGAAAAACAGAGAGTGTGTGTGTGTGTGTGTGTGTGTGTGTGTGTGTGTGTGTGTGTGTGTGTGT